GCTGAAGGGATGAGCAGAGACACACATCTCCCTAGGCTCTAGTTCTACCAAATGTTCTCTGCCACCAGGAGAGGTGTCTCTGGGAGAGGTTCTGAAACTGATGAATCTGCCCCTGCCACCCACCTGCATGTCTGAAGATTGCCTGTACCTCAGTATCTACACACTCGCCATACCCATAATGGCTCTAACCTGCCTGTGCGTGCCATAGCCGGCTGGGGTGTGAGAGGATATTTCCTCTGCAAGAAGATTAAGAATAAGATCAGCCTGGGCCCCACTGCAGTGTGGACCTTGTTGAGAAGCCTCTCGGTATCAGGTCCATGAGAGTGCTTCTTACCCAGCATGGGTGGCTGACCTCTGGACACAGGGTCACAGAACCCAGGCTACTCCCAGAGTCTAGAAGCTGTGGCCCTGGGATGGACCCAGGACTCATCTAATCAACTTATACCCAGGAGACCCATTCAGGTGCCTGAGGACTGGGTGAGAGCACTTTGGTGGGGTTTGGGTTGGGTGGGAGCACTTTGAGGTGGCCAGAGATCCCAGCCATGGATTATCTATTGGACCAATGAGAATGGAAGACACTTTAAATTAATGTGCACATGGATGATCAGGGAGAACCCCCTTTTCTTTTCATCTCAGAGAGGTTCTGGGATACATAGAGCCAGGCTTTGGTATGTTGGGGTGGACCCGTAAGAATGGGAGGCTGATTTTCCTGTTAGAACCTGGGTCACCTTCAGCACAGGTTATGAAGACACTACCCTGTCTCCCTGGAGTTCTGTCTATGTAGTTAGACATGTGACAGAGCCAAAATGGTAATTAGTTTAGGTAGCAGCTCTGGTGGGATTTGGGCTGGGTGGGAGCCACGTGGCCTCTGTGCCTCAGTTTCCCCAGATGATGATGTGGATCTATGGTGCTAGGCTTAGGACATGGGGCATGGCCTCCATGTATAACAGCTCCGCACTGGTAGCCATAGTTGTGATGGTGGTCATTATCCAGTACTACCTGGATGTTCTTGGCTTCTTCAGGTGAGACAGGCTGGGCTGGGCAACATGGGCTGCATGGAGCCAAGACAGTATTATGATCCCCGTCTCTCCCACCTCTCATCACTGGAGATAAGCATGCAACCGGCAACTGGGGCTACCTAGACCAAGTAGCTGCACTACCCTGGGTCCAGCCTCCACTTTGAAGGTGACCCTAGCTGTGTCACCATTTTTGGCAAATCCATGGGTGGCACAAGTGTGTCCTGGCATGTCCTGTCCCTCATGTCCCAAGGACTCTTCTACGGCACCATCATGGAGAGTGGAATAGCTCTGATGTCTGGCCTCATTGTCAGCTCAACAGATGTGGTCTCCACAGTGAGTGCCCCAACTGTAGGCAGCCTAGACCTGCTGCCTCATCTCTTACCTCTCAGTCACCATTATTGTGCCTGTGAAATGGGAATAATAAAGAGTCTCCTGCCATCAGAGCCCCTCAGGAACTGCCACTTATCTGGAGATTGCTGAGGGACTCAGGGATAGGAATCCACAGACCTTTGCCATCACAGAGGCTGAGGGTGTACTGTGACCCACAGAACTGCTGCCCTGGGGTTCCCCATCATGGGTAGGTGGGATAGTCCCTCTGGCTAAGACCTCTGAGCATCGGGGAAGTTGGAACAATTTCAAAATTGTAGGAATCCACAAGGATACCTTGTGAGATTTGGGGTGTACCTGCCCCCACTGGCAAACCCCTGTCCCCTACCTGGAAGGATGAGCCAGCCCCTGCCTGCTCTCTTTACAGATGGTGGCCAGGTTGACTCAAGGGCCCTGGTGTACTGCCTGAAGGGCAGGGTTTAAGAGGGGATTCTGGCCATCAGCAAGGTCAGGGTGGATGGTTGTGCATGTGGAGGAAGGGGGCTGATAGGTATAGAGCAGTATGTCCTTTATACTCCCTGGGCAAGTTACTATATCTCCATGCCTTGATGTCTTCACAGCCTTGGGAGGGAAATTGAAGCCATGAGGTGTTTCAAAGGCATATTTGTTTCTTAAATGCCTTTCCAGTGTCAGAAGGAAGAAGGGAGCCTTCTAGGCAAGGAATGAGCCTCATTTTGGGTCAGCCAGAGGCTGAGATTAGTGTACAAGATTGGGCAAGGAGATGGCCTGGCTTCCCAGGGCTGTTGGAGAGTGAGCAGAGAGCCAGGCCTTGAAGGGCAGAGAAGGAGCCAGGGACAAGCTAGGGATGGTGATTGTGGTGGGGGATGACCAGCGTGCTGGACTGGGATTGGCTCTGACCTGCACACTTGTCCTCTTGGTCTCTATAGTTGAAATCACTGAGGTAGAGGAGCTTCTGAGCAGGAAGATGATGAAATACTGGACCAATTTTACTCCAAATGGGTGAGATGTCATACCCCTATGTCGACCTCCCTGGGGGGCTTGAACCCATCTCTTGTTTGTGGTGACTTCATTAGCATACATGTGTCTTTAATTGCTCAATGATCCTTTCCCCAGTTTCAGGACCTAAATGGACAGAGAGGGGCCTTATGGGTGCTGGACGCCTGGTCCATTTCCGGATTTCTCAGAACCGCTATGTTAGTGCTGTTACCAGCAGAGCCTCCCTCTGATGGGAAGAAATAAAACAGCTGCAGTTGCCCTGCCCCCTGGTGGAGCTGACACTCCAGCGCAAGGTAGTTTCTTTCCTACTACTGGAAACCTCCCCACTTCCAATAGCAAGGGTCTGCCCCACTGGCCTGTGTATGACCAGGAGGAGCAACACCTGCAGCTGAACATACAGCCTGCAGTAGGCTGGGCCCTGAAGGCTCACAGGCTCCAGTTCTGGACGAAGACCCTGCCTCAGAAGATCCGAGAGCTAATGGAAACCGAGGAGAGGTACATAGAGCTGTAGCTCCCTGTGTCTGGAGGAAGGGGGTGGGCTTGCGTGCAGGTGGGGGTTTGCAATATGTGCCCACACACACCTACTGGGGAGTCACTAGTTTATTTCCTCTTTCACATAGCCATTCATTCATTCTTCCATTCATCCATCCAGCAAACATTAAGAACCTACTGTTTATGCTAGTTGCCACGCCTGCCATGGAACCTCTCTTGTTAGACACATTCAATAAATCCTGCCACAAAGCTGTAAAGGGACATATGCCGACGGAAGGTCACCTTCTCTAATACCCTACTGGGCCCGGGCCCCATTTCCTTCCCTCACAGACACCCCTCCTCACCTCCTCTCTCTCCCTTTGAGGGGGGGTCCTTTAGGGAATGTTGCCCACACCTGGCTCTCAGCAAGCCCCGTATCCTTTCATATCTGTAAGTGGCCAACAGAAAACCTGGACACCAGGAGCCTGAGAGTTCTGAGATGTCAGCCTCTGAGGCTACCAATTACTGAGAATGTAAAAGTCTCTGTCCCCACTCAGTGTCCCTCTAGATTAAATACCGTCTCTCGCTGACATTTAAACAACCCGCCCTCGTACTTATCTGTGTCTCATGGAAGTGATCAACTCCATTTTTTGTAAGAAGCAAGAATGGACTTGTGCACGGGCCCATGGAGCCTGCACCAGTTGTGTGGGGGCCTGGAGAACCACGTCTTTTCCTCTGCTGCCTGTCTCCTGACGTTTGCCTTTATTCCCAGTGGTTCTGCAGACACTGTAGGGCCCAAACCTACATGATCATACACATCTATGAAGATATTTTTCTGTGAGATGTCTCCTGGAAGTAGGATTAAGGGGCCAAAAGGTCCAGACAAATCTAGGAGATAGGACTCTTGTCCCCTGGCACGCAAGGGCCTCTTCATCCAGGGAGGTCTTCCCTTGTCTTCTGGGATTCCCCTTGTCAACCAGCCCCACGCCATTGCCCTCTCTACCGAGCATCCCCCAACTCATTGCGGGCATTCATATTAGTTCTTCTACTTGTCTCCTTGTTTTCCCTAAACTTTTATTTTCCCCTGCATCTCATCCTCCCCCACAAAAGAAACTCTCTCTTATATTTTATTTCAACATGTGAAATTACCAAATTGTGTTCACTCAGCCTCTCTGGTCCACCAAAGCACTTTCTGTCACCAAGAGACTGTATCCCTCTTCTCATAGACCCAGGACTCCCTCCGTGTTTTTAATTCTGACTAACTTGCCCTCTCTGGGCACTAGATTTCCAAGGAAAAAAGTCCTCCTTCTTTTCCTCCACTGTAATTAAGCCCAATCATAGAGCCTCTTGAAGTTGGGCTTGAAGAATGAAGATTCCCTCATTGCCCACTCTGGCCACTAGATGGTAGACAAGGATAACCTTAAACCTGGGCTGACTTGAACTTGGCAGAGGGAAAAGGCTTTCCTTACGTACACTAAACACTGACTGCGTAACACTTTTCCTGCATCCTGAAAGTATTCATTGAGCACCTGTGGCATGCACGCATCTGTATGTTTTTCAGTCCTGCAGATGCACACTATTCTCCCAACAGTAGTCTACCAGGACTAGTTTTTAAGACTGGTTTCAGTAATCTTATTTTTTTTAATAAATTTATTTATTTAAATTAATTTCAAGTATACAGTACATTGGTTAGACATCTATAATGATCATAAAATGATCCCCCCCAATTGCTCCCTCCTTCCCCTGGCCCTCCACTTAGCCATCAATTAATGCTAACTGCATTCCCTCTGTCATGCTCCACATGCCCAACTATCAACTACTAATTTGTATTTCTTTAACCCTTCACCCCATTCTCCCAGCCTCTCAACCCCCCTCCCCTCTGTCCATCACCAAATTGTCCACTATATTTGTGAGTCTGTTTTTGATTAATTTGTTCTTTTTGTTCCTTAGATACCGCATATAAGTGAAGTCATGTGGTATCTATCTTTCTCTGTCTTATTTCACTCACCATAATAACCTCTAGGTCCATCCATGTCATTGCAAATGATAAGTAATCTGATTTTTTTTAACAGCTTTATTGTAGAACAATTTACATGCAATTAAATTCACCCATTTTAGGTGTATAGTTTGATAAATTGGGGTAAATGTGTAAGACATATAAACACCACCACATTAAGTTTTAGAATGCTTCTATTGCTCCAAAAAGTCCTTTTGTGACCCTTTGCAGCCAGTATTGCCCTGACCCTAGTCCCACGCAACCACCGAATTGTGTTCTGTTACTATAGTTTGCATTTTCTAAAATGTCATAAAATGGGATAGATAATTTTTTACTGGCTTCTGTCACTTAACATACTGTTTTTGAGATTCGACCAGCAGTTATTTTCTTTTATTGCTGAGTAGTATTTCATATATAATATGCCACATTTTATCCACTCACCAGTTGACAGACATTTGAATGATTTCTACTTTTTGCCTGCTTTTAATAAAATTGCTGTGAATATTTTCAGGCAAGTCTTTTTGTGAACTTATGCTTCCATTTCTTTTGGGTAGATAGCTAAGAGTAGAAATGCTGGGTCATATGGCAAGTGTATGCTTAACTTTTAAAGAAAGTGCTATACTGTTTTCCAAAGTGACTGTGCCATTTTTGCATCCCCACCAACCATATATGAGGGTTCCAATTGTTCCATACTCTCACCAACACTTGGTTTTATCAGTCTTTTACATTTGATTAATTTTAATGTGTGTAGTGATATCTCATTGCGGTTGATTCCCTTTCTTTCTCTCCACTCCCACTCTGCCAATCAAGGTTAAAAGAGAGGATTTAGAAAGCTGCACTGGTTATTTTTGGCAGGGGAGAGGTTTGACCCTAAGGCTGTCCAGCTCTAGGTGCCAGCTGGAACCCCAGGAGAGGATCTGGCATCTTGTGTAGGCCTGTCCCTCGCCCTGTCCCTCTTTGAACCAGCACTTTCAGCTGTTTGAATTAGCACATATTTGCTTTTGCCCCACACTTTCCACCCATCCTCCCACTTCCTATTCCCAACAAGCCATGTTCCTGACACTGAGGTTCAGAGGTAAGTTCTGCCTTCCCTTGGCATTGGAGTGTCTCCCAAACCAGCAGGGAGACAGGCACCATGACAGACCTGTGCCCTGTGGGAAGAACAGGTTTCCATTGGCTCTGGTTTCGTGCCTCACATTTTCACACATATAATTTCACTTCTACCCGGTAAGGTGGTTCTAATTATCATCACTGTTTTAAGGATTAAAAAAACAAAAACAAAAACTGGCCCAGAGCTGTATAGTAACTTGTACAAGATCACACAGCTAGCACTTGACAATAGCCAGGATTTGAACACAGGAGGTCTGCCTCTTAAGTCACATCTTCCCAAGATCCCTACCTGCAGACCTCAGCTCCCCCTACCCAGGAGTCTAACGGCCACTTGGGGGCAGTGCCCTGCTTCTGACCTTGAGGATCCTCCAAGGGAGTGAGCCTATATAAGAAAGTCACCCCAACATATACCCTGGGTATCCTCAGTCCTGGCACCCTGTGCAGGGATGCTCAGGCCCAAGGCCATGAAGGTTTATAAGAGCATCAACCAGCTGTTGTGGAAAAGAGCATATCAGTTTTTCAAATGTTAAACATAGAATTATCATATAGCAGCAGTTTCATTCCTGGGTATACAACCTAGAGAAATTAAAACATAGGACCATACAAAAGCTTATACACAAATGTTTATAGCAGTATTATTCATCATAATGAAAAGGTGGAAATAACTCAAATGCTCATCGATGAATGAATGGGTAAGCAAATTGTAGTATAGCCATACAGTGAAATATTATTCAGTCATAAAAAAGGAACAAAGTACTGATGTTTGTTATGACTTGTGTGAACCTCAAAACATTGCTATGCTAAGTGAAAGAAGCCAGACACAAAAGGTCATGTATGATTACTTTTATGTGATATATCCAAAATAGATAAATCCGTAGAGGCAGAAAGCAGATTAATGGTTATCAGATTATCAGAAGTAGAGGGGTGGGAGGTGAGGGGACAGAGATGTAAATGGAAATTGATTACTTAATGGGTACAGGGTGTTTTGCTCAGATAGTTTTATAACTAGAGAGATGTGGTAGTTGCACAAAATTGCAAATACTCTAAATGCCACCGAATTGTATACCTTGTAATGATTAAGTGCATGTTATGTAAATTTAACCTCAATTTTTTTTAAAAAAAGAGCTTGTAATTCAATTTCCTCCACCCTGCATCAGAACTTAATAGGCAGGACTAAACATTAGTCCCCACCCGAGGTCTATTGGCTCCTTCAGAGCAGCACCAGAGTCACTGGCCACTGCTCCCTCAGGTCAGCAAGCGCTCGGGGTCTCATGGATGTCATTGAGTTAGGAGAATTGGGATTTAAACCCAGGACTGCAGAACTCCAAATCCCAGCCTCCTTCCCTTGCCTGGGGCTGTCATATCATCCAGGCCCCTGCAGGGCATTCTCCCAGCCCTGTCTCCCTCCTCCCCTAGCCTGGGCATAAGGTGCCTGGTGTTAGAGCGGCCACCAGCTAGACAGGGTGGTTCACTGAGATTTTCCCTGCTTCCAAACCACTCCAGGAGTCCCAAGCATGCACCAGGCTGGTGGGTAGACAGCTAGGGCCTGAGGATCTGAGGTCCCTACCCCATGGCCATCACTGAAGGTCATGGTATGGATCCATAGGGGCTCTCATGGTTGGCAGCACAACCTCCCACCTCCTAGGGCAAGTCGGCCCTGGCTGCCCATGGGAATGTGGTAGTAGTCACAATCCAGTATCGCCTGGGGTGCCTTGGCTTCCTCAGGTGAGGTGGCAGGCCTGGCTGACAAGAGGCCAGCTGGCGAGAGGAATTAAAGATCTAGGGTGAAGGTCCAGAGCTTGAATGGAGATGTCTCAGGCAAGCAGGGTGGCTAGAGATCAAGGGCCTTTCTCCTATGCTGCGTGGGTTGATAAGGGTACTCCCTGAGGCTGCCCCCTGAGGAAGGGGCTCAGCCAAAGTCAGAATTATACAGTGAGCTGGTCCTTTGGACAGAAGATGTTGGCTCCCGGTCTAGACCCAGGTTCCCAACAAGATGTGGGGGCAAGAAATAAGAGCGAGTCCTGGCAGGCTGCTTAGCCAGGCCTACCCACACCATGTGCTGGGCATATGGATACCAAATGGCTCATAGCCAGGCAGGACTTGGAGAGCAGGGAAGGATTTGGCTTCCTAACGGCTGGTTCAAAGCTAACCTGAAAAAGCTGAGGAAAATCTGTCAGGGAAGCCAGGCCATGCTAACCACTGCCCCACCCTACCCCTAGTCCTGGGGACAAGCATGTGCCTGGTAACTGGGGCTTCCTAGATTTGGTGGCTGCTGTACCCTGGGTGCAGGGAAACATTAATCCCTTTGGGGTGACCTCAACTCTGTCACCATCTTCGATGAATCTGCCAGTGCCTGCATTGTTTCTGCCCTGGTAAGTCACCACAGGAGCTAGCAATGGTGTCTCCTGTGGCCCCAGACCTCCCAGCTCCTCTGCTCTACTCTGACAGCCATCTGTCCCCCTACCCTGCACCCAGGTCCTGTCCCTACTGGCTGCAGGGCTGTTCCACAGGGCCATAGCACAGAATGAAATCATCATCATGCTAAACTTACTAAATTCTGAACTGTGGCCTCTGGCTCAGGTCTGCATTTCTTTTACTCTTTTACCCACAGGTACCTACCATAGCCTTCCCTGTGCTTTCTCTGAGTCCTAGAAAGGGTGTCACTAGTAGAGAACTCCTTGTTGATAGAGAGAGGGATCCACTAGGGTGAAGGAAGCACACTGCCTATGAGAACTCAGAGAAAACCACCAGTGCCACCTGGGAACAAGATGATTCAGGAACCCATCCCTCCCTCCTCACTTCCCAGAGACTCCCTGACCCTTTACAGCCTTAGCACCTACCACCATCCATCCCTGCCAGACTGGCATGTGGTAGCATCCCTTCCACCCCCAAACTCTAGCTCATTTCCTCCTTCGCTCCATAAAACTGCCACTGGCTCTGGGAATTGAGTTAACTAGATAATGACACCGTTCTCAGAGGGGTACAGGGGACTCAGCCACCCACTGATAATGACAGTATAATGTAATGGGAGACACACCAAGTACCTGGAGACCACCCAAGCTGGTGGGCAAGGAAGACTTCTCAGGACTGGTGGCAAGTCTCTGGACAGTCTTGAGGTCCGTCTCTGACATAATTGCCCCAGCTGTCCTACAGACACATCCCCTCTCTGTAGGAGGCAGAGGGTTGGAAGGTGAAGTTGACGGGTGAGAGAAGAAAAGCAAGACACTTTTGTCTGTCCCCAGAGCTTTGAGGACTTCTTGGCCTGCAGCTCTAATCCTTGGTTGAGATGTCACAGTGCCTTCAGCAGAGGGCAAACAAGGAGCTAATCCTTACCAAGAAATCAGTATGCCCTTCTCTTGGGGGACAGCGGCAGGCAAGGGCACAGATGCAATCTTGTCCAGCTCCTATGGGACCACAGGGGCACTGAGCAGTCTGGGGTGAGACATGGGCCAGCCACCCTGAGGAGAAGGGGCTGAGGACCCAACCAGGCCCAGGGGCGTGAATGGAAGGAAGGCCCTGCATCTCAGGAAGGAGGCCTGCTTGGGAGCATCAGTTTCCTGGTCTCCTGACTCCTCCTGGGTCCTCTAACTCTGGTGACCTCCATCCTTTCTCTTTTCTTCAAGGCTCAGTCACTCAGGCGTGCAACCAGGTGACCCTTGGGGTCCTATCTGTTCAGGCTTGGGCCTGACTGGGAGGTCCTCTGCCTTGCTTTCTCCTTCAGAATGTTAAAGCTGCCTACACCAATGATGGCACCTTCTTTCCCAAGAACCCCAAGGTTGAGGTGTGCTGAGGAAACACAGTTCTGTGTGGCTGGAGAGGTCAGATTGTGAGGGTCTTGTGGGCTGCAAGGGGAGTGTGGACTTGGAAAGGTTTTAACTAGGGGGCAACATAAACAGGTTGTGGGGGGGTAGTGAGAATAAGGGTGGAGAGCAGGAAGGGGGCCAGTGCTGGCTTCTAGGTAGGTGGAGAGGCTCTAGATTTAGAGTGGACAGACCTGGTGACTGATGGGACATAAAGATGAGGGGAAGGAAGACCCCTCAGAGGCTGCCTGGAGTCGAGCAGGACTAGGCTCAAAATCAAGGGCCTGGTTTTGACCACACCGGATATAGAAAAATACCTCTTCCTCCAGGCCTGAGGGTGCCCCACACCTGGCAGCCATGGAAAGGGGGGTGAACCACTGCCAGCTTTGGCGTCACCATCGCCAGAAGGCTCTGGAGAGGGTAGGCAAGCCTGCTGGTGGGGCCTCAGATCCTGTCCCACTGACAACTTTCCCCCTTTTCCTCCCCCCACCCAGCTTCTAGTACTTCCTCTCCACACAGAGAGGAAGGAGAATGTTCCACTGACAACTTCTCCCTTTCCTCCCCTCACCAGCTTCTAGTGCTTCCTCCACAGAGAGAGGAGGAGAATAGCCCAGCATGGCCTCACCCGGCCAGAGAGCATTCGTACCAGGTGGGTGCTCTTGGGATTCCAGTCCTTTTGACTCTCTTTTCTCTCTTCCTTGAACCACTACCTCTCAGGCTCATGGAATGCTCCTCCCCTGCCTGCCAGGGTGTCTGTCCATGACCAAGCGATAGCCCTGCCTTGAGGACCCAGCAGCCATGCAGAGCTAAGGGGAACAAGCCAGGGGGCACCCACAAACTCAGACTGGCCAGGGCCTGGAGAACAGAGATGAGCAAATCCAGGGAGCCTCCCTGTGGTGCTGTCGCAGGCAGGGGCCTGTGAGCAATGTGAGAATGTGACCACTAGGAGGTACTGCAGGATCAGACGTGCACACCCAGACCCAGACACCCAGGCAAGGTAAAGGGGCAGATGCTCCCAGTAGACAGACAAGAATGTACTACCCAGCACCAAACTTAGTTACACACACACACACACACACACACACACACACACACACACACACGGGCAGTGATGCATACTCACTAGCAGAATCTCAATCCAGTTCCACAACTTATTGAATGTGTATTGTTGAGCAAGTTATTTAGCTTCTTTGTTCCTTAGTTTTTCCATCTGTTAAACAGAGGCAATGATAGTGTTTCCCCTTCATAGATCCACTGTGAGCACTGAACAATCATTGGCTGTAAGATGCCCAGGCTATACCTGACACACAACAAGCACTTGAAAACTTCTTCCTGGTATAAGTATACTCAATCACTGTCAGAAAAAATTCATATGGTTCCCTGACTATAATTTAAAGATGGAAGAATTGAGGGATGTTAGGGAATGTCATCATAATTTTGGCTTGGATCCCTTCCACCTTAAGATAACTGTTGGGCCTGCCCAGAACAGGTGGCAGATGAAGCCCTGTGATGTTCTGAATGGCGGGCTGAGTTCCCTCTCAGGGAAGAGACTCTCTTAGGGTCTTAGGGCAGCCATCATCCAAACCCCTACCCCCTCTGCCTGCAGCCGCCCCTCTTGGCTTTAAACCCACCCCCTCCTCAATGTCTTCAGTTCCCTGCCCAGCTTGTCTAGCCCCTGGGAAGGCTATTCTGAGAATAGAAAGAAACTTGGCAGGAAGATACCAGCTCTGTTACTTGGGAATAGTGGTGCCCACACAATCCTTCTCCCTCTGCCTTGGCCCTTGGGCCTCTCTTCCCATCAGCCCCAGACTCCTCATGCCTTGAGGATGTCATTGCCTACTTGAGCCCCTCCCAAGGTGTGCACAAGACAATCAACCAGCAGAGATTTGCCGAGCTCTCCTCCATGCTCAAGCTTACTCACATCCATCCTCTCCCCAAGGTCTCTGAACAGTCCTCTGGGGTCCTGAGTGGATCCCCACTTTACAGATGAGGAAATTGAGAATTAGGGAGGGAAAATGCCTTGCCTGAGGCCACAAGTGCCTTGCCTAAGGCCAAAAGTTACATTTGAATCAAGTAATAGTTTCTGATTCCCACCCAGCCTTTTCCCCTGGCTACACCATTTTATGTCCCCGCCAGAAATCTATGAAGATTTAGATTTCTCAACTTCCTCAGAAGCATTTATTACCTGACTTTTTCTTTATTCTAGCCATTCTACTGGGTGTGAAATGGTATCTAATTTGGTTTGGTTTACATATCGTTGATAGCTAATGATGTTGAACATCTTCCCATGTGTTTATTGACCTTTTTAATATATTCCTTGGAGAAACATCTGTTCAGATCCTTTGCTCAGTTTTTGAATTAGGTTGTTTATTTTGTTGTTGTTGAGTTGTAAGAGTTCTTTATAGATTCTGGATGCAAGTGCCTTAACAGATATATAATTTGCAAATATTTTCTCCCATTCTGTATGCAGTCTGCACTTAATTCTTTTGTATGTGGCTCTCCAGTTGTCCCAACACTATTTGTGGCAAAGACCATCATTCTTTCCCCCATTGAATGGTCGTGGCACTCTTGTCGAAAATCAGTTGATCACAGACACATGGGTTTATTTATGGACTCTCAATTCTGTTCTGTTGATCATATGTCTATCTTATGCCAGTACCTCCTTTTCTTCATTATCATTTCTTTGTAATAAGTTTTGAAATAGTGAACTGTGAGTCCTCCTAATTTACTCTTCTACAAGATTGGTTTTAGGCTGTACTTTGCAATTTCATATGAATTTTAGAATCTACTTGCCAATTTCTACCAATAATTCAACCGAGATTCATGTAGAGATGGCATTAAATCTATAGATCAATTTGAGGAATGGTCCATCTTAATACTATTAAGTCCTTTCATCCTTAAACTTGGGATGTTTTCCATTCACTTAGATCTACTTTAATTTCTTACAACAATGTTTCATAATTTTCAGAATACAAGTTTTGGATTTTTTTTTGTTTGGAGCCTCTGGGGCATGGAGGGGCCCTAGGAATTATCAAGTCCGCAGTTAAACTGAAGCTGTACTTTCTCAGTCAACCACCTGTGGGCACAGAGATGGCCAGGCATACTGGCCAAGCCCCTCCCAGGGCATCCTATCTGCATTCACCACCCATGGCTTTGTCTTGGCTACCTTCCTCCACTCCCACCTCCTCTGGCATTGGCCTCTAGGCCTCCTCAGCATTGATCATCCTGAATCCCTGAGAACCTGAAGCTCCATAAGGTTCCCTGATAGTACCATCCTGACAGACACACTCTCTCCCCATGTCTGCAGCTGCTACCTTTGATGCTCCTTGGAATGGAGAATAGTAACTCCCCCCATTTTGACAAACTTTGGTGAGGGTCCTCTCATAGAGGAGGAGCTTGGGTTCAGGGTCTCCACTCAGTGAGATGATTCTTCCACTCTTGCAGGTACCCTTTACTGCCCGCTGTGGATAGGAGGTCAAGTCAGAAGCCTAGTGGGCCCAGAACCATACTCTCTGCCTTCACCCCAGACCCGCCACCTGCTAGACCAACTCTAAAGCTCAGGTTCCTTCCCC